AGAAATCTCTATTTCATGTATGTAACGTCTAATATGTTGATTTGAGTATTTAATGGAGTAATCTTATGTGATTATGGTTCCAACTATATGTAAGTGACATATAGCATTACGGAAAAATATAATCACACAATATGTAAAAAAAACAAAAAAAAAACATAATATGATCTTAATTCATCCTATATATATCTAACATATGGCTTTACGGAAAGTATAATCATATAAAATGCATAAAAATAAGATTAATCGTGTGATCTTTGATTTCAACTATATGTATATGGCATATAGCTTTACGGAAAAGTATGATCACATGGATGTATAAAAACGAAGAGGGATGCATAATGTGATATTGATTCCAACTATATGATTATAACATATAGCATTGCGGAATTATAATAAAAAATTGCATCTATCTCTAAAAAAATGGATGATACGACTTAATCTCAAAAAAATCAATGATGTTCATCACAATGGTAAACATGATGCAATAAATCATATACATAAGGTTCTACAATGATTTTTGAGTAAAGCAAATACCTCAAAAGAGATCCGAGAATCGGTGAGTCGCGGGCTAGGAAGGGGGGGAGGCCGGGTGACGGTCGGTGCGTTGGGCGGCGGCCAAGCGTGACTGGACCGTTGGCGGCGCGGCTGGACTGCTGGAGGCGCGGCTGCGGATTGAGTGTAGGGAGAACGGGAGAAAAAAATAGGTTTAGGGCTACGTGCTGATAACGTGTTGTAGGGAAGTGAGAGAGGTGTGTTCATTCCATTAGTAAGCCCCCTTTAAATAGGAGGGGTTAGGGTTTTACAAGGAATGGGCCAATGGGCTAATTAGCTCGATACATATAATCCCTAGATACACTTTCTATCTATAACGAATGCACATTAAAGTAATTTCCTTCAACACTACCCTCTTTTTAAAGTCTACTTTGGGTTGAAATTTTGGAATAATTATATCGCATCAACATGGTACAAAATTTGATACTCTCTCCGTTCTTTATTATTTGTCCTCTTAGGCTTTGGTACGTGTTTTAAGAGCACAATAATAGGGGTAGTGTAAAAGGTGTAGTGAGTTGTGAGTAAATGAAAATGTGGGAAAGAGAAAAGGGTTAATGGTAATAAAAGTGAGAATGTAAAGGTATTTCGATTGAAAAGACTTACCAAATTTCAAATTTTTAGGTGAAATTTGGTATGAGTAAACTAGACTTAATGAAGTGAAATTTTTGGCTTAAATTTGTATGGGTAACTAGACTTAATGAAGGTGTGCTCAAAAATTTTGATCAAAAATTCCACCAAAAAACCGCCCCAAATGGCGAGGCTGAACTGAACATTCTATATAAGGTTGATTTGCACTTTTTAATTTAGTTCGAGTGTTGATTTGCTACTTTTCCCAACAAAAAATGATAAAAATATTACCTGTCAGGACCTGTTTTGAATTGACAAGAATAGGACTATATTTAAACCACAACAAAAAGTGAATATTTTACAAGTGAGAGGACCAATCAATCCTTTACTTAACCCAACTTTCAGCTCCTCTTGCACCTCCCTAGTTTGGAAATCTTTTTTTGCATGACTTCTCTATGCGGCAAACACGGCAATGACTAGTGACAACATCAGTGGCGGCGACCAGAGGTAGACACGACTTGACTAGCAACAACGAAAGAGACAACACAGACGGCCACAACTGAATAAAATCTTCTTCGACGAAGGAAATGACAAAACGGCCACCATTGTCAATCTTCATCATCTTCTTTTTGAAGCAGATATGCTTCAATGCAAACTAGCCCGCCTTTCAGGTTGTTTTGATTTGGACTTGGATTTTCGAAAACAAGCTAGCTAATCTAGGAAAAGGAGGTTCGGGTTGAAATGGATACCGCTCGATGGTGATCACAATTTGAAATGGATATCATAGCTTACATTTGTAATGACAGCTTAAGTAATCGATTAACCAACGAACCTTGGTTTTGTTTTCTCTTAAAGAGGGAGAAAATTAGGGTGAGAGAAAAGAAGTTTTCTCGTCTAGATGAGTTAGGTCTTCTTCGTGTTTTGGAGGGAGAGTTTAGCGCAATGATATGGCAAATGGAGGGAAGGGGTGGTGTCACCGGGGAAGTCTAAACTGGGACACCATACTAACGATTGACGGTTGATCACTGGTGGTGATTGGTCACTAGGGCTCAACGGAGTCATTGTGGTGACGAACAATTGGTAACTTGGGCGGGTCAAGATCACTAGTTGTGGGTGATCACTATGGGCCACATTAGTTTAATAAATGATATAAAAGTCATCTTAATCTCCATTTTACGTAGTACAACTAGGGCTGGACTCGGGCCGGGCGGCCCGAACCGGAACCGGCCCGGCCCGGTTACTGTGCGAACCGGCCCGGCCCGGTGGCCCGGTCCACCGGCGGTTCGGGTCGAACCGGCCCGGTGGATACCGGTTCCGGGCCCGGGCCCTCCATTTGGTGAACCGGCCCGGCCGGTTCGGGCCCGGTCCGGGCCGGAATAATTTTTTTTTTTATTTTTTTTTTTGAAATTTTTTTAATTTTTGGGTTGGATTAGTTATTTTGGGCCATTTGAGGTGGTTTGGGGTGGTTTGGGGTTGAGGAGGAGGGGTAGAGGGTTAAATAAAAGAAGCCAAAAATTTAAAAAAAAAATAGGGGCGGGTGAACCGGCCCGGAACCGGCCCGGTCGGGCCCGGAACCGGCCCGGAACCGGTCACCGCCGGTTCGGGCCCGGGCCCTCCTATTGGTGAACCGAGGCCCGGCCGGTTCAAGGCCCGAACCGGGCCCGGCCCGAACCGAGTCCAGCCCTAAGTACAACATTCTTATTCATTACCTTCTTTTAGTATTCCTTATGTTCTTTTTTATAGTTAAACTTGACTTTTCAAGTCAATGGTGTCTAACTTTGACCGATTATATATTTATACACATAATAAGTATTCATAATATGAAAATAATACTAAAATGTTCTTTGTTAAAAATATTATCATAAAAGTATGAAATTATTAACTTTTTTTTATTAACTTTTACTTAAATATATTAATTATTAAATTTTACTTAAATATATTAATTAAAACAATTGGTCAAAATTTATCATTATTAACTGGTTATAGTTTGACACGTATCTTATTACATACACGATACATACTATGTATATCAAAATAAGTATATAACCCTTAAATAATGACCCAAAAGTTTTATAGAAAAAACAATAATTGACCCTAAATTCCTGCATCTCTTGTAGCCCATAAATTGACAAAAGAGTCGATGCATCGGAACTTGTTTTGTGTGTCATTCAGGTCAAACTATTACAGTATTACCCTGGCGCCTATTTATCCAGGGGTGTTTGGATCTCATTTTAAAACTGCTTCTGCTCCTTTAAGAAGTAGAAGCAGAAGTTGGAATGTTTGGATAAATATACAAAAGTGATTCTGGTGCTTTAATTTACTCCTAGAATCAGTTTTTTTTAGAAGCTGATTTTGATTCTACTTCTGCTTTAAAAAAGAAGCAGAATCAAAATCAGTTCCAAACACCCCCTAATTCTCTCTTCCGAGTGAGATGTACTAATTGTGTTTTACTTGGTACGGTATACGGGTGGACGGGGTCGGTCCAGGTCTGCCTCCGGGCCGGGACTGGACGGGCTCTAGGTCCAATATTATCTGACCTAGTACCGACCCGGATTTGTACCGGGACTGGGTCGAGCAAGGCTACCTCTGAGCAAGCTTCAGGATGGGATGGGAGTGATGGGACTGGTTCGGGCCAAACAATTCCAAGCCCTTTTTTTTTTTTGGAATTCTTGACCTTTAGGCCCGGGACAAGCCGGTCCACTAAAATCAAAACTCAGTACCGCTTGCTTCTATATCCAAGTCGGGACCCACGCAGCCACGCTTGGTCCAGATCCCGATCAACCGGGTTGGTTCAGTACATTAGTACATATACAATGCTTCCAAACTTTTTCTAAAAGGACTTGTAAATGAACGGCCATAAGTCCATACCCAAGCCATTTGTGGGGGTTAAGGAGCGTCAAACAAAAATGGTGTTTTACAAATTACAATTACTTGTTCAAGGGAAAAAGCATTATGTTGAACTTAATTCAACATGAAGAAGATAGAAATTGTAGAGAAGATAGAAAATGCTAGACGTTATCTAGAGTTAATTTTTATTGGAAAAACTGTCAAATAGGTCTTTGAACTTTCATAAAAAAAAATCAATTAAGTCCTTATTTAGGAAGCTCTGTCCGGTCTTCGCGATTTGGTAGGGCTCCCGGTGAAATTTTTTAATGAAATTTTTTGAGCATCTTATTTATCAAGTCTAGTTTACTCATACCAAATTTAAGCTAAAACTTCAATCGGGAACGCATTCAAATTAATTCTTGAAGATAATTGTGCTGTTAAATGAGCAGTTATCTTCAAAAATTAGTTTGAATGTGTTCCGATTGAAGTTTTAACTCAAATTTGGTATGAGTAAACTAGAGTTGATGAATAAGATGTTCAAAAAAGTTCATCAAAAAATTGCACCGGGAACCGCCCCAAATCGCGACGGCCGGACAGAACTTCCTAAATAAGGACTTAATTGACTTTTTTATGAAAGTTCGAGAACCTATTTGACAGTTTTCCCATTTTTATTTGACAAAATAAGTACATTCCACCAATTTTGATACAGTGAAAATGTGAAATTATTCCTCACTTAAGGTCAATTTGGAAAATCAAATGGAGAAAATGAAAGATGAAAATTCGCATCTGTCCCACAAATTGCGGGCTTATGAAATGTCAAAAAGAAATATCAGAAATTGTAGACATTATAAAATGTAATATGTAAATCATATTTTTAACTCCTTGACATTACCGACTGCTGAAAAATGCAACACACAAAAATCATTTAGAAATTGGTTGATGCTAACTTTGTAAAAGAATCATTTTGAGACTGAGGCATTTATAAATTGTAATGTGAAATTGTGAATAAACAATGATCAAGTAACACTGAAAACATAACAAAAATGCTTAGCATAAAAGTGTGCGATAAACATTCAACAAAAGATAAAGAAAATACAAATTTGAATATCTCCAGAAACAAAAACTTGAGAACGTACAGTTCATTAATCCTCTCATTAATTAATGCTAAGATATAATCCAAAATCAATCTAGAAGCTTATCATATCTTGCACAAACTAACCCACAACTTATGCTTTAGAAGCTTGCTTTTCCTTGGCTTTCTGAATCTTCAAAACCTTTTTCACAATCTTTTGTTCTTCAACCAAAAAGGCTCTGATGATCCTGCAGAAAACATAGGGAGGGAGCTTCATAAAACTGGGTTCAACCACAAAGGTAAGTTTGGCAAAGCAATATGTAGAAACTTCATAATTGAGAAAACACGTTGAATCCAAGCTGAGTTTGATACACATTCATAAACGGGCTGATCCAGAGTGGCTCAAAATATCTAACTATGGCTCATAATTGGGGTTTAGTTACCATGCTCCCATGGATGTAACCCCGCACTTGCATGTGGAATATGAGCTCTGATCGCGCCAGACTAAAAAATTGAGTTTCACGTAAAGCTCAAGTATGTGGTGCTCGGGCTTTAGCTCAACATGAATTACAGCAGTAGGCGGTGTCAAATCAAGAAAAAATGCAGTACACTTGTAAAAGAATAGGGACACGGCAGGGAGTTAATTGAGAAAAGTAACCTTTCACGAACAGCACTGCCAGAAAGCACTCCACCATAGGCACGGTTCACAGTCCTACGGCACCTAGGCAATCTTGACCTCTTGTATTCAGCAGGTCTCAAGTGAGGAATCTGCGAATGTGTATGGAATGTAAGAAAAAGGTCGCTTAGGCCATAGACCCATTCAAACTAAGAAAGTTGTAACTTTTGGTTAACTCCATACTTCCATAGGCAATCCACTAAACTTGTGAAACTAGGCATTCAATGAATTTACAAATGTAAGAGACGAACTGAAACCCAAGGAAATTGAATCCAAGTTGATTTACTTAGTTTGATCTACTCCAATCCATTATTCTGCAAGTCCTAAGGGAAAATAGCATGCATGTCACTGATTCATAATTAGGATCATTGTGTGCTAGCCAATGGAGGGGTTCTCTGACCTGTACGGCTGTACACTCTTGGAATACATTTGGAACTTTACTTGTATTCCATATTTTCTAAACTTGAGAGCATAACATGCTAAGCGATCATACAGAATTTCAATCAAGCTTTATATACTTTTTAGAAAACCTAAATTTATCAAGATTATGTATTAAGAACTCTATGCTTTCCCCCTCCAAAATCCTCAATCCACACTGAAAATTACAATACTTTGAAAATAAAATCAAGCACTGGAGTATTAAAGGACTACATATTTAACTAGGAAGTTGTTCCATCTCGTACTTATTGTTTTTAGTTACAGAATACATTAACTTTTCTCAAATCCAAATTGTTTGTAATTTCAGTGATTCCAAACTTTTTTCTACTCAAATCTAAATTACTTTCCTAGTGATTTTCTCAGAGAAAATTCCCAGAAAACAGATAATTTACTGATCTTCTAGTTCTAATCTTACCAAATGAATAGCTAAAGGAGAGTAATTAAATTGATAAATAAGCATAGCAACAAAAAGGAGTAGAAAAATACGTACCCCTTGGATTCTCTTTCCGGTTACAGGGCATTTAGGACCACTGGCCCTCTTCTTTGTGTTCTGGTACACAAGCTTCCCACCTGATCATACGATGTTTTCAGCACCCACAACCCACGAACTCATTTTAATTACACAAATATGAACATATTAAGATTATACTATGGAAAAATACATACAACCAGAAAATAGACAGAAAATTGGGAAGAAAGTTAATCAATAAAATGATTGCTGAACGAAGGAATTAGTACCAGGGGTTTTGACGACCCGATTCTGATTAGACTTAGTGGCATAGCTATGCCTTGACCGATAGACCAGCCGCTGCACCATTTTCACAATGTGGGTAGCTCTCGATTAGCTGGTTTTGGGGCTGAAGCAACTGAAGAAGGAAGATGTACATGGCCAGGGAACATATATTGAGGCAAATCGTGTACGCCCTAGATCGGACGGTGAATAGGGCAGAAACTATTCCGGGCTTTGAGGATGTAGGAGTGAAGCAGGTGCATGCTAAGCCCAATCCGTGTGGTGTAGTCCGTATATAACTTTAACCATTTGTTACAAGCCCATTTCTGCATATAAATTAGCCAATTAGGGGGCGCAAAAACCATGCACCAATTGCATTTACAAATATTGATTTTTTTGGCATAAAGCTTATATTAAAATCATAGAATGTCAAACATTTTGTGATTTGTGATTCGATGGCATCATTGTTACATTCTCAAGGAGAAGTTCACAGGTTCAAAACGTATCATAGACAAGAATGTTGGCATATAACTTTTGAACGGATACTATAAGAGACTAGAAAGTCCAACAACAAAAAATTGTTGAACATGCGAGAGATCCGAAGCGATTATCGACCAGATTAACCTGATTACTTCCTCTCAGTGACGTATCCAAAAAATTTGTTGAGTGGGGGCAAACTTGCACTATAATTAGTCTCATATTTCACAAATAGAAAATCACATTATTAAATTGTTTGATTAAATTTAGTTTAAGATATAAATGTACAAGTATGAATAAAAAGAAGATTATAGATTAATTTATATTACAGATGTATAATGATGTAATTGCAAATAAAATTTGAGAATATTAGCTAAATATAAGTTAAACATAACAATCTTTAGTGATTTTAGCCTTTCATTCTTTTAATATGAAAGAAAACACTCTTAATCCTATTTTAGAACTTGTTTTCTACATTTAACTCTTATTTTGAGCAATTTCTTATAAATAATTTAGATATATATAGGGGTTGGGTTGGGGTTGAGTGGGGGCAACTGCCCCCGCTGCCCCCATGGTGGATACGCCACTGCTTCCTCTCATTCTAGTAATCATAAACTCATACCAAAAAACTATATTCTCGTCACCAGCCTCGATGGGAAAAATAAAAACAAATATTGAATGAAAACAAAAAAATTAAAACATATAAGAATAACTAAAACAAAATTTCAATTAAATCTTAATCGCTCGTCCATTCCATGATGGCAGTTCAGAAGGGGGCGACCCCATAGGACTTCACTTTCTCCCTCCAAGAGCAACTGATCGTAAGCCTGAACTAGATCATCATGCTCACCTTACCTCTTAATCATCTCAATGGCTGCTGTTTGGGGAAGCAACAAAGACAAAGTCATTCGTGATCAAACGCCAAAATCATGTGAACGGAAATCGCCACAGCCAAAACCGTAGACCAAATCCATGTGTTCGTGAGTCATGTTATTGCTTGCTGAGATGCTTGTGTACGCCATTGATCACCTTTCCCAACCTGCTGGTTGATATTCGTGTAATTTCCGATTGTATGTTTGTATTTTTAACTAGTTTTTATTAATTCTAGTTGTGGAAATTACACACTGTTGGTGTAATACTTTATTTTCATTTTTTATTTGTAATTTGTTTAGATTAGGATTATTCTGAGCTAAACAGGTCAAAGATCATCCAAGGGATCAAGATTGGGCCTTAAAAGATCAAGGAAAGTGCAAGGAGGCAAGAAAGATTTCGATTTGGAAAAAATATTCATGTACCCGGTCGGGTATTGCCTATACCCGATCGGGTATTTGATTGATTCGATTGTCCAAATCAAATCCAGGAACAAATGATCGTGGGAGCGAATTTTCGTGAAGATTTGTCACATACCCGATCGGGTATGCCAGCATACCCGATCGGGTATGCCCATAAAAGTGACTTTCTGGGCATACCCAGTTGGGTATCCTATATACCCGGTCGGGTATCAGACCCTGCAGCTCCCAAAAGCCTATGAATACACCCCTTTCCTTCCCAATAAAATCACCAATTCACATATACTCTTAAGCTCAGTTTAGATTAGTGTTTTCTTTATATTTTCTATCATGTTTAGTCTCCAAATGAGGAGCTAAACTCTTCCAACTTGGTTTTGCTACTTTGAAGCTTAATGAATTGTAAGTTGTGAGTTATTTTCTTTAATCTTCTTCTTTGAGTATTAATTCTTTCTTTAATCTATCTATATATTAATGTTGGGGAGTGTTTCTAAGATGACAATTAGTTAACATCTCGACATTAGTTATAGTAAGATTTATTTCCTTTAATCTATCTATATATTAATGTTGGGGAGTGTTGCTAAGATGACAATTAGTTAACATCTTGACATTAGTTATAGTAGTATTTACTTTCTTTAATATTCTTCCTTGAATATTAATTAATTCCTATTCACATTTCATATTAATATTTTGAATATTACTTAAAGGATCAACTAGTTTTGTTTCATATATTAATTATCACTAGAATCGATCGACGAAGAGCATGACTGACTCGGCGGCGCCTCCACCTGGTGGAGGCAATGTTTGGAATCGAAAATCCTTTGCAGATGTAGTTGCTGATCGATCGGTTTTGAAGCCTGAAAAATCTAGATTTAAAGGATTGCCATCCATATCTTTAAATCAGAATGATTCTCAGAACCTTGCGGATAAGCACAAACGAGCACTGGTGGGATATTTCTTTAGAGGTAAACCGAGTTTAGTGATTATCCGTAAGGCTTTTGAAATAATTGGGTTTAAGGGCTCCTTTTCCCTGGGTGTTTTAGACAACAAACATGTTTTGATCCGTTTTGATTTGGAAGAAGACTATATTCGGTGTTGGACAAGGCAAACTTGGATTGTTCAAGGTCATGTTATGAGGGTAACCAAGTGGACTCCGGAATTCAAACCCAATGTTGAATCTCCGGTTGTCCCGTTGTGGATTGCTATGGAAGGTCTGCCAATTCATCTTCAGGATAAAGCAGCCCTTTTTGAAATTGCTTCTTTGATTGGAAAACCCTTAAAGGTTGATGAAGCTACTGCTAAACTAACTCGGCCTGCTGTGGCTAGAATTTATGTAGAAGTCGACCTCACTAAGGAAATGCCTACTAAAGTATGGATTAATTGTGGATCTATTGGATTTGCTCAGCCTATTGTCTATGAAAATAGGCAGGAATACTGCTCAGCCTGCTTTCATTTGGGACATTCCCAGTCTAAGTGTCCCAAAAGGCAGCCTGACCAGGGTAAAGCTATTGTTTTACATAAAGAAAAATGGGTGCAGAAGACGGAGAAATCTAATCTTGTTAAATTTACAAGAGAAGAGAAAGGGAAAGATCAGATCACAGATATGCCACAAGCCAGAAGTGTACAAGATCCCAATTTACAATCATCTTCTAAAGGTGTCTTGGAGGAAATTCATCTGGATAGTGATTCTGAGGCTGAGGATGTTTATGTCGAGGATATGCCATCATCCATCATACCTGAAGAGACAAGACATAACAAAATGGCAACTTTATTAGAAACAAATATACCCGGCATCTCCAAATCAGATCCTAAAGAAATTAGAGGAATTCAGGACGATTTTCACATCAGAAAGGTTCAAACCTTTTCCACTTCCCCTCTGCTAATTAGAGATTGCTACTCAGATGGAGAAGAAGATCAGGTTGTTGATCCGAGCTCTTTCATGGAAGGATGGTCTGGTATCTGTAAGGGTGTTGATTACATTGTCAAGCACTCCTATGATCCTGGTATTCAATTAGATCACTCTCTTCAGGAATCACAATCTGAACCAAATGATCATATAGAAACATGTGAGGCAACTACCATTACAGTAAGGAATAAGGAGGAGGACAATATTAACAAAACTAATAAGGGAGCAGATAGGAAACCAGTTCCAGTTGAAAATCAATACAGGAGAAATACTAGAAGTGCAGCTAGGGGAGGAGGAGGGGGAGCCAATGGTTCTCAATGAATTGTCTAATTTGGAACACTAGGGGTCTAGAATCCTCCAGTTCTAGACTTTATTCCCTAGTCAATCAATGGAGGTTGCAGATTATCATTATCATTGAACCTATTGTGGCAGATAGTAGGATTGATCATTTTAAGCATTTGCTTGGTTTTGATAAAGCTATGAATTCTACTCTTAATAAAATTTGGGTCTTTTGGGACTCATCTAAACTAGACATTTCTGATTTCTCCTGGAATGAACAGTATGTTCACTTCAAGGTGAATAGTGTTGTTTACAATGGATGGATTACAGGGGTATATGGAAGACATAGTTATATAACTAGAAGAGATCTTTGGAATGGTCTTACTGCCTTCAGTTGTAATCTTCAAGATCCATGGATGATAGGAGGAGACTTCAATACCATTGCCAGTTATAATGAACACAAAGGCTCCTCCCTGCCCCTTATCTATGATATTAATGAATTTGCAGATTGTATTGCTAATTGCAATTTGGTGGACATTCCCTACTCTGGTCCCAAGTATACCTGGACAGGAAACAGATCAAATGGACGAGTATGGAGAAGGTTAGATAGAGTGCTTTTCAATAAGGATTTTCTGGATAAGTATGATAAAATTCAGGTATCTTTACTGAATAAGACTCCTTCTGATCATAATCCTATCCTTATTCAGTGTGCTAATGTGGGTTGGTCTGGGCCTAAAAGCTTCAAATTTCAAAATATGTGGTTAAGCAATCACACATTTATGGATTTGGTTAAGGCTAAATGGAGCAGTGTTGGGCACCAGGGAGGTATGAGGGGGCTTATTACTAGATTACAAAATCTGAAGAAGGAGCTCAAAACCTGGAATAGAGTTTCCTTTGGGAATATTTTTGAAAATATTAAGATGTGTGAAGAAGATGTTCTGAAAGCTGAGATGAAATTTGAGGAAAATCCTTCTGATTCTAATAGAGAGGACTGGTTTTACAAAAAAGGATTATTGACTCAAAAATATAATCTGGAAAGGAAATTTTGGAAGCAGAAGGCTCATGTGCGTTGGATTAAAGATGGAGACAGCAATACAAAATTTTTCCATTCCTTTGTTCAAAACTGAAGAAGGCAGCAGTGTATTACCTCTATTAAAAATCAAGCTGGGCAAGAGCTCTCCTCTCCTCAGGACATTGCAGATGCGGCGGTGGCATTCTTCTCTGATCTTTATAATGCTCCATCTGTTGAGGATGATTCTGCCAGTAGTAATATTCTGCAACACATTCCTCAATTAGTTACTCAAGATGATAATTATAAT